CAATTTATAAGTTATTGTCCTTGACGAATTTGGGGAAATTCTTGCTCATTTCTTTTCAAATATTGCTTCTGCTCCATTTTCTCTCTTCTGTTGTTGTTGTTGTTATTTGCCGTCGAGTCGGCCCCGACTCATAGCGACCCCTCCTTGGGTTTCCGAGGCAGTATCACTACGGAAGTAGGATTGACCAACCTTCCTTCCGATAGCTACCCTATAGGACAGAGTAAAATTAGTGTTTCCAAGGCCATAACATTTATGGAAGCAGACTGCCACATCTTTCTCCCACAGAGGAACTAGTGGGTTTGAACTGCTGACCTTTTGGCTAGCAACCAAGTGCTTAGCCACTGTGTCACCACAGACCAGTCTATACATTGTTTTTAGATGATGACATCACCAGTGTATCAAGCTATAAACTCTCTGTTTATCCCTCAGGACTGTGACATTGCTCACCATGCCTGTATTTCGTTGTTGCCATGAACATTACAGGCAGACCAATGGCTGAAGAAAGGATCCAATTGCAGACATTGACAATTTTGGCATTGCGGGGAGTGCGGAAATCCAGGGCCTTGACCGGGTGGCAGACTGCAATGTAGCGATCGACACTCATGGTGCAGAGGGTGAAGATGCTGGTGAACATGTTATAATAATCAATGGAGATCACAATCTTGCAGAGGATGGTTCCAAATGGCCATGTTCCCATCAGGTAATTGACACTCTGGAAGGGCAGGGTACTGGTTGCCAAGGCATCTGCCAGAGCCAGGTTGAAAATATAGATGTTGGTGGCAGTCTTCATTTTGGTGTATCTAGGGGATGAAGGAACAGCAGTGACAGAATAAGAAAAAGGGACCAATGTGAAATATAGGTAAACTTCCAATAATCAAACTTACATAGATTAGTGGAAAGCATTTGACATTAGATATAGAGGAATATATTTCCAGTACTTGCTTGGTTATTTACACCCATGTGCCTAAAGGCTAAATAGGTCTTTCTCTGGTTATTAGGTTTCTTACCTGTAAGATGTTATATTAATAGCTACCATGAGTATTCATGGAGTTATTTTTATGTGCCAGACACTGTGACAGATGTTATAGACACAGGGAGTTCACAGTTGAGTAATAGAGACAGACCCAGGATAGTAATTGACTTTAATTATAGATAGGTAAGGAAAAAATCATATGTGTATATATATATATATACTTTTGTTGATGTTGTTAGGTGCTGTTGAGTGGGTTCTGACTTATAGTGACCCCATGCACAACAGAATGAACAGCTGCCCAGGTCTGTGCCATTCTCACAGTTGTTTGGGCAAAGGGCTATGTTTGAGCCCATTTTTACAGCCACTGTGTCAATCCATTTTGTTGAGGGTTTCCTCTTTTTCATTGACCCTCTACTTTACCAAGCATGATGTCCTTCTCCAGGGAGTGGCTCCTCCTGAAAACATGACCAAAATAGGAGAGATGAAGTCTCACCATGCTAACTTCAAAGGAACATTCTCATTTTACTTCTTCCAATAGATTCGTTTGTTTTTCTGACAGCCCATGGTGTATTCAGTATTCTTTGCCAACACCACAATTCAAATGCATCAATTCTTCTTCTATCTTCCTCATTCATTGTCCAGCTTTCACATGCATATGAGGCAATTGAAAATACCATGGCTTAAGGCAGGTGAACTTAAGTCCTCAAAGTGACATCTTTGACATTTGAAATAAATACATTTAAAATTATGGAAGAATGTGATAGTGCAAGGCTATATATGTGTGTCTGTGTATGTGTATATACATATATATATGTATATGCACACACCAACATATATATACATACATACATACATACATACATATACACACACACATACCAAAATGAAACCCATTGCCATCAAGTTGATTCTGATACATGGAACCACATTTGTTACAGAAGAGAACTATGCTCTATAGGTTATTGACACCATACAGTTATGACTGTAATCTTTATGGAAGCAGATTTCCAGGCCTTTCTTCCATGGTGCTGCCAAGTGGGTTTGAACTGCCATTGTTTAGGTTAGTACAGGTAGTCCCTGAGTTACAAATGAGGTCCTTTCCTAACTGTTGTCTTTAAGAATTTGTAGGTCAATCAGAACAGGTGCACATGGTTCTTATTTAGCCTTATTTTAGTGCAAGAAAAAGTTTGAAGCTGTTTCAGTGACTTAAGACATGCATGTACAGCAAGTGAAGGTGATTGTCATGCAAGATTTTTTGAGAGTAGTGGTTGGTTCTATCATTTCAAAACCAAAAAGAAAACCAAACTCACTGCCATCAAGACACTTGGACTCACAGCAATCCCTCCTTGGGTTCCCAGGTGCTATCTCTACGGAAGCAGATCACCCAATCTTCCTTCCAAGGAGTGGGTGGTGGATTTGAACTGCCAGCATCCTGATTAGCAGTCAAATCCCTTAGATGCTATGCCACCAGAGTTCCCTATCATTTCAAAGCTAGGGCAAATTTACATAACATTAAGGGCAAATCGGTACATAACAACATAAGTTGTCCCTAAATCAGACATTTATAACTGACTAGCACAAACACCACCCAGGGACCTGTACATGCACATACATGTATGCACACACACATGCACATACATAGACACACACTGGTTATTATGGCAGCATAGTGATGAGATACTTAACTGAGCATATCTTAAGGGGATAAAACCAAAACCAAATGCACTGTCCTCAAGCAGATCCAACTTATAGTGACCCCTCCTTGGGTTTTCCAGGCAGTAGCACTATGGAAGTAGATTGCCCAACCTTCCTTCTGAGGAGTGGCTGGTGGGTTTGAACCACCAGTCTTCTGGTTAGCAGTCAAATGCCTTAGGCACTATGCCACCAGAGCTCATAACTTAAGGGGATAGGAGGAAGAATAAAAGGAAGCCATCTTGGAACTGCAGATACAGAAATGGAATCTTAACGTATGAGTATGAGCTAGCTGGTTGGTGGGAGTAATCATTGCAGGAAGAGAAGAAACATGAAGAAAAGCAGATTTGAAATAGCATGCTGCATGTGTTTGTCATTGGTAAAGGGTAAAATTCCTGCAGTAATGCCAACAGATCTGAGAAGGGAAGAACATAGAGACCAGATCAAGGAAGGACTTTTATGTCATGCTAAGAAGATTTGACTTTGCCCTCTCCATGTTGGCAAAGCTAATTTTTTTTTTTAAATTTTTTATTAGCTTTATTGAGATATAATTGCACATAATTAGAGTGTAGGATTTGATCTGACATATATATGTAAATAAAATTATTCCGTACCTAGTTTCTTTCACTCGACATAATTTTTTTGAGATTTACTCATGTTACTGCATCCATTTTTGGAGCACTGGTAGTGTAATGCCTAAGGCATTTGACTGCTAATCAGAAGGCTGGAGGTTCAAAGCCGCCAGCCACTCCTCAGAAGGTGGACTGAGCAATCTACTTTTGTAGTGATACTGCCTAGGAAACCCAATGAGGGGTTGCTATGAGTCAGAATTGACTTCGAAGGCAGTGAGTTATTTTTTGTGTTTGTCCATTTCATTGCTGAGTAGTATTCCACTGTGTGAATATAGTATAATTTGTTGATTCATTCATTTATTAATGGTAACTGAATTGTATCCGCTTACTAATGGGAATTGAACAGATGCTACAAAGCTCATGTCTTCTGTTCATAGGGGATCATCTCTAGTACTTATTCAAAGCTTATTTCCCCTTATTTGACTTGAATTGTGGATATATTATTAATTATATGTCTTCAAAACCTACAGAAATTAAAACTACCAAATAGAAGAAATAAGCAGGTACACTGACAATATTAATAAATTTTATCTGCTGGTGGGAGAATATATTGCAAATATCAGACACATATTGTTTTTAACACCTCATATTTATCTAACCAACAAACCAAACCCACTGCCATGGAGTCGGATCCGACTCATAGCGATCCCTCCTTGGCTTTCAGAGGAGGTATCACTATGGAAGTAGATGGCCCAGCCTTCCTTCTGAGGAGTTATACAAAAATATCTCACTCATTTCTGGGAACCACTCACTTTCCACTCCCAGTCCATGTGCTTTGCAGTGGCCTCTGCTACTGGTTTGTGGTGGTAGGATGTAAAAGGTTTAGGGCCACAGTGAATGGTCAGTAATGGACTCAAGTTTCAGCTAGAGCCAATGAGATTTTGTTGTGACTTCTGGGGACTGAGTATATTCTGTTTCCCTTAGGACCTACACTTGAGAAGATGAGAAGGTATAAGGTATGTAGTTGCTGGGAGAGCCTGACTGAAAATAGCCCCAGCCTGGAGAATATGATTGGATCAAGTATGACAGAAACGCAAACCTGAAGCCAGGCTGACCTTGGACTTTTTATTTACACAGTCCAAAAAATTCTTTTTAAACTTAAGCTTGTATATTATTTTTCAGTCACATGAAATTTAGGTCTAACTCATTCAGCTAAGAGATCCATAGGTTGAATGGAATGAGTATTACAGACCCACTTTAGGGCCTTAACTCAGTGGTTCAGGACAATATCTTTGATACTGATAGACATCAGGAAGCCAAAGTTCTACAGAAGGATTTTACATACCTCCTCAAGGCTAACAGGGTGGAGCTGTCTCTTGAGATCTAAAATTCTGAGACCTGGTTTCGTCTGTGATAATTGCGGAAGGTGCATTGCTGCCACAAAAACAAAAAAATGAAAAAAAACTCCCTGTTTTCAGATTTGAAGCCTTTTGACTTGCTTTAGAAGGTTACTTCCTTAAAGAATTTTAAAGAGAAAAGAGAGAGAAAGCCACTTAACTTGAGGAGATAAAACATATTGATTTTAGTGAGATGCCTAAACGTGATAAATATAAAAAGAGAAGCTAGATGAGCTTCCCCCAAAATACAGAAACAAAGCAAACAAAAAATGTAACAAAAACTGAGACTTTTAAGTTTTCAAATAACTGATCTGGATGCTAAAGGAGTCATAAAGTTTTGATGCTCTTTATAACCAGAATTTTCTCCTGGAAGCAGCACCTGTTTCTCTTCTTCACTAGCTATACCACAGATTTGCAGACCTACATGATCTGAAGGCAGGCTCTCCTGTGGTAGTCACTTTCCTACCCAGCAGACCTTACACATCTGATCTTTAACTGAGTGTTTTATGTTTAACAATCAGGTTCCGTGCTTTCGGTTTTATGACTCATCACACTAGTAATCTTTTCTTCAGACTTAGATACTTATTGATCTATGTTTATTTCCATTTTTAAAATTATTTCCTCCTCCCGAGTGAGGTGTTTGTGAAACAAAATTAGGTTAAGGTCCTATATTATGAATGGAAACGTGCCTATTTATCTCTACAGGCTATTTCAGTTGACATGTTGCAGGGACAGTCTTGTTTAATTTTTTGTCAATTTATCCAAAGTCTTCCTCTAAAGACAGTATTTTTACTCCAGTTACTCACACTTCAAGTCAGAGCACTAAATAAATGTCAGGTCAGCAATTTACTGTCTGTTAAAGAGAATTGTGCAAGAATCTTGTGGTGGATCCCCTGAGACTATGGCTCTTAGTCACTCTTCAAGCCTGAAACTAAACTCATTCCTGTGACTCAACTTTCAGTCAAGCAGTAGACAGGTCTATAAGGTCTATTCAATAACACCAGGGAGGTATGCATGCCTTAGAACAATCAATCTTTTGAGATCCAAAGAGCAGGCTTTGCTCAGGGACAAAGATTGAGAATTTCTATTGTCTCCAGCATAACACCAAAGGTTTTACTATGAAGAGATAGTTTCCTCAGAAACAGAATAAAGCAATCCAGTAAACA